AACAACAAAAAAAAATATGGGAAAATTAAAACCCATTTTGTCCCAATTCTCAAGAATCACTATTGTATTTAATATAAAATAGACCCATTATATTAGCAATAACTTAATGTCTTTTGCTGTTTCAAAAACCTCCTGCTTGTTAAATCACATTCCATGGGCACTGCCCCATTACCTAGCAACCCAAGCAGAGCATGAGTATGTATTCACATTTTTTGTGTTTTCATTTGGGTATCAACTGCTTCTAAAAACAACCCAAGGCAAAAAAAAAAAAAAGAAAAGAAAAGAAAAAAGTTTCCAGGCAATAAGTTAATGTTTTTTGGTGTCTGGAAGACGATCAGTTTCAAAACCTTCCCAGATTAAGTGACATTCCAACAAGCAACCCAAACAGCTCCAGCATGGATGTGCTGTACAATGGCTGGTGGAAAAGACAAATGTTTCGCTGATGACTTACCATCCTGAAAGCACTTGCTGCATTCTTGTTGGTTGTGCAGGAGGCTCTACTGATATACAGTTGTATAACTATGCATCTTTTTGCAGCCATGTCACATTCAAATGTAAACTTTGAGGGTGGGGGAGGGGGACAGGGCCAGCAGAAACTTATTTGGATTTAAAGTGACAAGAGCCCTGAAAAAGCTCATTCTGGAAAAGGACAGACAGAAGTCTCATTATCTAAGAATGATTTTATGCAAAAAAGTGTTACAAACATGTTTGGTATAACCCATAATCTAACCTGTTCAAACATAATAATTCACCTCTAAATAAAGAAAATCCCACTAGAAATTATTTTTACACCCTTTTTCTGGCGCCCCCCATACACAGCGGCCCTGTGAGTCGATCATGTGGGTTTTGCGCCACTACTCTCTCAGTGTCACTTTCAACTTCTTTCATTCAGACTTGTGTCCAGCCTGATGCGTCAGTGTCCCTGTTGCTGCTGCAGTGGGACAATTTAAATTTATTTACTGAAAGAAGCCAAACTGAAAACTTAACCGAGCATTTATAGCTGTCGCCTATGCAGCATAGGGTTGTGGCATTCACCGCCGGGACAAAAATAAAGGCAAAAAAAAAAAAAAAAAACAGAAAAGAAAAATGTTTCTGGTATCCACCCATTCCTAAAAATACAGCTGTCGGTAATCCTGGCGCTGAATTTTCCAGAGGACGCCGGCCGGGTTACCGACGACTGCTGACATTATTTCAATGATAGGTTCGCCTTCCACGGCAGAAGGGAGTTCTCTGTCTGCGTGGGAGACCCGGATCCAGAGTGGAAAGCTGAGGAGCAAAATGTGGGAGCAGATCTGCCGTCTAAAACTGTCACTCTGCTTCATCAGCACCCAGCCTGCTGCGGATACGACTGCGTGTGCGTCCAAGAAAAACAACAATATCCTCCTTATAATGGGATTAATAATTTTAAAGTTACACACACATAAATAGACGCAGATAATGCAACTAACCTGAAAAGTGGGGGATATAAGATCAGAAGGGGACGCTTAAGAGGTTTAGTTTGAATTTTTAAATTATTAGATAATTCTTTTTTTCCTACCTTCTGGCGCGGTTTGCATCGTCGGATTCCCCCGCAGGAGGAAACACAGGCTCGGCTCGTTTTTAATTATAAGAGGGGGGCAGCGGCGCCCTTTCACTCCGGGTCTGCGGGGTTTGCCATCTTGCCTAACTTTTCCCTCTGAGTCCGTTCAACAGACGGGCTGCGCTGCTCTAAACCGCTTTCTGGAAAGACGAGCGGGACGCAGCCGACATGTTCCGCTGCGGGGGTGTCAAAATAAAGTCTGGAGCTTTATTTTGAAGGATCACAATTAAACTCAGTTGAAATTTGTTTATTTATTTGACAGGGGCAACATAGATTAATTAGCATTTCTTCAGAATGAGCCAAAATGCTTTTTTCCATCTACTGATTTTAGATTATGCACAAATTGTCAATAAATACAATTTGTACAAACAGCATATACAAAACAAAGGAAACCACAACACAATTATTATGACATTAAGTTAAATAGATTTAGTCTAACATAAAGCATTTTTAACTTAAGTTAGATTTAAAGGTAAATTTTAAATTAAATGTAAAATGAAAATTATAGTAGATGTAATTTAATTTAATATAACCAACTTACATTTCAAATTCAATTCAAAATAAAACTTAATTTAACAAAATGTAATCTGATTTACTTTGTTTTATTCCAAAACAATTTAGTATCAAAGTTATCATCAATGAAAACTAGCGAAACAACAAAGATTTAATTAAAATTAATCAAAAACCTTAACAACTAAAAATAAAGATACAATTTTGAATAACTTTTTTGAAATTAATAAAATTAACATTTGATGTTGCACATTTAGACCGCCGGACCAGAGGCGCAGTGGATTTGAGCGTGAGGCTTTTATTTTGAAGGCTGTTCCCTGCCAGCTTCCGGCCTGTTTGATGTTGGCCGGGGAGGCTCGCGCTGCTAATCATTAACAGCGGAGCATTACGTCAGGGGCTTGGCAGCGAGAGGAAGCACCAAAATAGAGAGAGTTGGGGGGGGGGGGGGGGGGGGCCCCCGGGG